GATTTTGATGTACATTTTATTATGTTGAGGTATGCAATTTTCATTGCATAAATGCACACATATTCATAGCATGCATTATATTGACTCATGAGATTATGCATCTAGATTAAATGCATTTGTATGCCAAAATCATGAAAAGGATTTTCTTCATGATTTCTTAGAGGAAAGGAAAAAGTTTTCATGGTTTCATGGTTTTTATGGTCCCCGTATTTCCTTCTAAAGAATTTCTTCCTTGGGGGAATGTTAAAGGCCCTAATAGAAGGAAATGGCATTCTCGCCAAGGGAATTGGTAATGGCCCCACAAGAGAAATGCTCAAGGAAATAGGGTCGAGCATGTATAGATGTGTATATTTAGACGTTCGACGAGGTACGTCCGAGCACATAAAAGATTTTTTAGAATAAACATGACATGGATTTCATGGAAAGGAAATGATTTTGGAAAGGAACATGGCAAGGATTTCAAAATGCATTTACTTGCAAAGGTGCATTTCACTTGCATATGTATATGTCATGCATGATTAACTTACTAAGCGACCGCTCACCTAGTTCTTGTGATGTAGGGGTGAAAGAGTGATGGCTATGCTTTTCATGGAGTTTGTTATTGAGGAGATTCCCCTATCTTTCCGATGAGTGTATCTTACCTATAATTGTAAGTTGGACCTACTTCATGTTGTTGTGCTATTTATTCTCAATATTTTGGTCTATGTATTGGGTATGACTACTTTATTTTATATGATAGTCAAGGTAATGAATAAATAGGTTGTTAGTTAGTAAAAAAAGAAATAGACTTGTAAATAAATAAATCACTTTTGGTAGTAGTGTGATACTAAAGTGACTCGTCATGTAAAAGATAAATAAGTTGTCCCTCAATCATTTTTGGACATGTTAAATATGTAATACCATAGTAGTATGTAGTTGTAGTTTTTGTAGTTTAATATCTTCATACTACTATTTGTTAATAATGATATGGGTAGTCAAGTTCCTAAACTAAAAGACGATAATGAATAAAGGAAAAAGGGTAGACTATCGAATAATGGATAAGGCTAGATAAATTTTTTACGGCTAATAGAAAAAGAATTTAACAAAACCAAGAGACACATATCTAGTTATTTCAAGTCTAAACTATTAAAATAAAATGAAGAAAAAATTTAATAATGTATTTTGGGTTGAAATTTGTAAGGAAAGTTAGACCTATTAGTTATTTAATAGGCTTCCATAGTAAAAACCATACTCGATAATACCATAGGAAGGAGATAGTGCCTTGTGTCTTACATTCACTATGAGGCATGGTGATAATATCCTTAACCTATTTACGTCCTAGCTTGAGGGTGTTACATGCCACCTTAATCAACTTGGCAATGTATTGCATAATTACTTTTTTTAAGGCATATCGCCTTAATCAACTTGGTCACGTACTCGTATATTTACTTTTTCAAGGCAAGCTACTTTAATCAACTTGGTCATGTAGTGCATATTTAATTTTAGGGCAGGCCGCTCTTTAATATGACCATGAATTTACATATTTAAATTTTCAAGGCAAGTCGTCCTTCATAACAAGGTCATCCCATCATAGTTTTACTTTTAGTTTCAATCATCCGGAACAACCGAATAAAAAAAAATTATTTACAAGGTTATTATACAAAGCCATTAAAAAATAATTTCTTATAAAATTTATTAAAATTTAATTTCAAAAAACATAAGGAAAAACAAAGCCATCCCACGTACTTGCATATTTAAATTTCAAGACAAGTCACCCTTTATAACAAGGCCATCCCACCAATTGTAAAGAAAGGACAACTATCACAACCTAAATTTTGGGTTATATTTTATTTTTATAATTTTTATAATTAAAATTTAATTTAAACAAAAAAAAAAGAAAAAAAGAAAACAAATAAAAAGAAGGAAAATACATAAACTAAAATTGGAAGCCAATATGGACCAATTGCATTAAATGCTAATAAGAGTTAAATTGAAAAAAAATCAAGATAAAATTAGGAGCCTAATTGAAAGAAAATTAAGGATGTAATTGTATTTTAAAAGCTGTGGGGATTATTATTTAAGTTGGCGAATGAAATAGTGAAATGAAAAATTCACTATTTCATTCGAATTTTTGCAAAAATTCAAAAATTAGAAATGATTTTCAATTTCAAGTTTTTTGCATCCTTGATTTGATTCCTTACCGGCATATGATCCCTTTGATTGAAACACAATCCACACTGCAATAATTGAATAAATTTAGTAATGGAAAAAGAGAGAAACAGGAGAGGAAATTTTGAAAAATTAAAAAGAAAATTAATTAGTTTTAGGCTATAAATATGGTGCTGGAAAGTTTAGGGAGAGGAGACGAGAGAATTGCAGGTTTAGAGAGTAAAAATCGAGAAAGAATAGAATTCGAAGGATTTTTTGAAATTTACGGGCGAGGAGTTGTTGTTCTTAACTTATTGGGTTTTCACTCTTTATTAGTGGGGTAGTTCAATTCAATTTTCTTTGCTTTCTTGGGTTTCATGTTGAATTTCGTATTTTTTCTTCAACCTAATTCGTTAATTTCTTGTGATTAATTTGCATTTTTTTTTTTTGGGTTTTCCTTCAAAATTTTTTGGGCAATAGTTTATCTATTCTTCACGAGTTCCTCACTTTTCTTGGTTACTTTTCTTTACTTTCTAGGTTTGCATTCTTTTTTTTTTGGGTTTGTTTTTACTCTACACCAATAGGTGTTGCCCATTGTTTCGAATCTCTAGAACATAGAAGAAGAATCCTTAATCATCAACCAACCTCTAATTTCGTTACCATCCTCACCAATTCCAATCCATTCTATTGTTATATTGTATCCGGATTCGACAACATTAGCCACATAACGAGTCTCAACACAATTACCTGCATTTAAGCCTTTTATCATCATCACCAAGTAGTTCATTATTTTTTCCATACATTGATCGCACTTGTCATTTCTAGTTCTTAACTTGTAAGATTTTTATAGAAATCAACCAAATGAATTGAAGCGATAGGCGAGTGAAGTGGAAAAACATAAGAGTTTATGATTTTTTTTTAGTCAAAATTTATATTCAACGAGTAGTTATATTTCAATTGACAAGTGAATAAAATAAAAGGAGGAAGGGTAGGAGAGAGAAGTAATAAGAACATGAGAGAGAGAGAGAAATAGAGACTCGGAATTTGATAAAGGGTTGTTTGATCGAAAAATAAAATGAAAGAAGATAAGGTTTGTTTATGGACTTGAAGTCCGGCCCATGTTTATATATATAAAGGAAAAGAGAGGGACATGGTTTGAGCTAAGCCCTAACCCAAAAGCAATTTTAGTTTAGTTTTTGTTTTAGGCGTAACTTGGTTTCAATCTAGCTTCTACCATAAAAAAAAAATTATATAATAATAATAATAATAATAATAAAAAGAAAAAATAAGAATCGGTATTAGAAACTGGAATTAGTCTAGTTAGATAAAAAAAGGAAAAAAATAGGTAGAAGAGAGTAACGCATAGCCCAATGGGCCTAACCTAATGGGTTTAAGGCTCAATAAGATTTTTTTTAATATTTTGATTTTATTTATTTTTACTTAATTCTGAATATTTTGGTTTCCCTTTTGTATTTATTTTCCACATTAATTTAGATACAATATATATATATATATATGTATATCCTTAACGAAGTCTCATATTTGATATGGACTTGTCATTAACAAAAATAAGAAAGCAAAAAGCATAATAATAAGTTTTTTACTAAAGTCTCATATCCGATAGGAACTGTTGTTAGTTAAAAAAATATACCATCAATATTTAATAATCAAGATGTTTTCCGACAAACTAATTGTGTTGAAGCTTTAAGTGGATCCGATATTTAAACCAACACGTCTCTCGATAAAGGAATTCGACGATCATTTCAATACGTTGCCATGTCAAAAAAAAAAAACTTAATTTGGTTTGAAAAATTGGAGTTTAAATTGTAAATAACTTGGTACAAATAAAACATTTTAGGAGATGAATTTAGAACTAAACTAGACGTGATACCTTTCTTAGGAAATGACGTTTTTGGGTGATCAATATCTTCCCAAAACCTAATTAACTCCTTACCTTAAAATCTTTGCATCGGTGCTATTTTTAGGTTTCTAATTCCTTTAATACTAGGTAGCGACTCCAAACTCAATAATAACTCACATCTCAAAAATCACTCACAAACACGATGCATAAACTTAGAAAGTCTAGAATTTTTCGGAAGTTCCATCCAACATCGTGTAACGATAGAACTATTGGATGAAATTCTAATAATGGTTTTATATGGTTTTTTAACACCATCTAAAGTGAAAATTTGAACTTAAAACTTGCATAAATTCATAATTACCTTGTGCTAAAATTCAATTTAATTAGAAAGAATAAGGTTGGTAGAGTTCAAATTTGTGATAGTTTAATCCGTAAGACTTTGATATTTTATCAATATAAAATTTTAAATTGTTTTGTATCAGTTCGCCGTAGGCTTAATTCGAAGGCTACAGTTGTGTAAATAAAAATCTACCTAATTTGTGTACTATTATAAAATTTCAAAATAATAAGGGATTTTGAGATGGGTTGAACTAGTGTTTCATACTTTTTTTGTTGCTTTTGTTCTCTATTGACACTCAAAAAAACGATGCAAGATATTATATATATATATACAGACTTTAATCTAAATAATATAACACGATATTTTATTTTATTTATAGAAAAGTAGTTGTCAAAAAATGTATCATTAGCAATTTTAACTTAAAAAATGGTTAATTTTTCTCGACTAAGACCACATTTATGCAATTTTTTCATGTAACATAAAATAATAATAATAATAAAAAAAAGCAAAAAAGCAAATACATGTCTTTACATCATTGGTATACTAAAATTTTATATAAAGATGACAATTAATTATTGGTTTTGTTATAAAAGAAGTGAAAGCCAAATCCCAAACAGCAACAATGATATGCTTAACAGGGAACTACATCAATGTTACCCTTCTTTTTAAATGCTATGGAATGGGCTCAAAAAACAATGACTTAGCCATATCCGTAGATTTAAGAAGTACATCATCATACTCCTCACCATCTGGATATATACAAGATGTTAACTGTGCCATGCCCAAGACCACTCGAATAAAAGTTTGGGAAAATAGAGGATTTGAAAATAGATCTCTATTCATCTTTTTCCAGGCTTCATTCAGCAAATATCTTATCTGTTGACGCGCTTCTTCTTCAGAAGCTCCAGTTTCATACATGTAACCTTGAATTGATTTCGGAACATCACCTCTTTTGATTTCACTCTGAATAGAGGAAGAAGAATATTAGCTTACACATGCCTAATTAATTAAGCAAACAAACAATTTGACAAGCAAAAAATTACAAGAAATAAGATAAATTAAATTAATCATTCAAGATTTAGTACAAATATGCTAGCCAAATTCTGTGTTTCTGAAATGATGAGAGCATTATAATTGGTAGTGTTTTTATAAATAAACTAATTTATGTTAATGTCTTGGTAAAGCATAATATATATATTTTTGTTAAAATTCTTCATTCGTTTTTTAAGAATTTATTTTTTAAAGGAAATCTTCTCTCCGTTAAAATTGTTGTATAACTCCATTTAATTTCTATAGACAAATCATTATTTAGTGATACTTTTCCAGACATGTTGAAAAAAATTCAAAACACTATTGTTGAGATTGTCAAGGACATGGTTAATAATTGTTAAACCATTTCGATCTAAAAATTTAAGTTGTTAGATGAGATTTTAAAAATAATAATTTATATTGCTTTTTAACAAATATATATTTTTTAAAAAGTGTTTAATTTAAAATTTGAATAGATCCATATTATCTTGTGTTTAATTCTTTTTAATTAATTAATAGAAAAAGTGCATAAAATGATAAAAATATCATATCAAAGAATCATCTCAATCTAAAAAAATTAAAATAATAAATGAAACTCATGAATAATTTATATTACTTTCTTACAGTAATTAAGCAAACAAATTACAGAGAGTACTTTGTCAGCATAGTTTTGGACATGATTAACACCCAATGGCTTGTGCGTTACTATTCTCTTTTTAATAGGTCTCAAGTTTGAACCTTCCTTTTGTTATAAAAGGAGGGGATGGTTAACACATGCAACAAAGCACAAATAACTCAGACAATGGTTCCTTTTGTTAATTTATTATATTCGTTATGGAGGAGAATTTCTTGTTTCTTAAAAGAATTTAAGAAAGAGATAGAGAGCAACCTAGTTAATCAGCAGCAAGAAAACCAAAACCAACGTAAAGTAGAAATATGTAATAACAAGATTATAGGATGCATGTCGACCAGCTCGCATACCTTCCATGTTGCTAGATCATCTGCAAGTCGCATAATCAAGAATGTCCACTGCAAAACATTGGGGCGTTGCTCCAAGTAATGGAAAGCCTCCTTTGTTATTGGATTTTCCACACAAAAATAACCCCAACCGAGTATTACTTCTCCTGAAACTGATACAGTTGCGTTGTCTAAGTATTCCCTTAAGGTTGGTGTATATCCACTATGGTACCACTTAGCCTCCGTTAAATATGCTTTAGAATAATCTGCCATCTAAAAATTGAGAACCATAAAATCAACTAAATAAACGAACTTGAGGTTAAAAAAAAAAAAAAAAAAAAAAACCATGGTAATTACTCGGACCACCAAGCCATTAGTAGTATCTGTATTGCTACGTATGAAACATGAACAAGAAAGGATAAAGTGGTAAGCACATATTTTTTTGTAGATGCCTAGCTAGTTGGAGGTATCAAATTCCACAGGCTACTTTAAAATGATAATAATAATAAAATAAAAATATCAAATCTATTTAAAAAACAACAGAACTAATTTGTAGATGCTTAGCTAGTTAGAGGTATCAAATTCTACATGCTACTTTAAAATACTAGTAATAATAAAATAAGAATGTCAGATCTATTTAAAAAACAACAGAACTAATTTGGAAAAAGAAAAGAAAAGAAGTAAAGGTAAATATATTGGTAGAATTTGCAAAAAATAATACCACTCTCTTCAGGTATGGAATAATTAATGTGAAGTCCTTGATCCCTGAGCACATCATAAGCCGTCTCGTTTATGGCGTTGTACAGACAAAGAAAATATAATTTCATATAGTCTGGAAGATGATCCATAGCATTGATATCCCATCTAAAATTATAATGTTATGATAATTTGGTTAGGAGAGAGGAAAAAAACTTATGAAAGCAAAGATTACCAAAAGACTTCTTGCTACAAACCTTGCAATGGCGTCGGTAAGTAGCTTGAGCTCATCTAAAGTACCATAGATATCATAAATATCGTCCATTGTAGTGACAAGTTGACAGATTTTTGCTAGCATTCTCCTACCATGTTGAAGCTGTGGTTCAAATGCCATCGCGGTTCCATATAAGAAATTCGAAATTCTCCAGCAGCCAATCCCTGGAAAAACTCAACTTTTCTGCAATACGTTTACCCTTCCACCACCTTTTATCATGCGCCAAATAAGACTATAAGTTTAGAAATATTGCAATACAAAATCTAATTAGTTGTTTGAAAAAAAAATATATTGGAGAATTATTGTAACAGACGCACTTCAACTAAACATCTGATTCGTCTTATAATCTGTAATTGATTAAAGGAAAAGTTTAAGAATCGTTTTGCTTACTTAAACGCATGTTTTACATCTTTCTGGTATATTGCTTGAACCATGTTGAAATCCAACTTAGCGAGCTCAAGCAAAATAGGTTTCTTATCGTCTTTGCTCTGATATGTATAGATGAACCAAGAAGCTTCCATTTTCGGCAGCCTCCAAGCCAGTGGAGTCTCTAGTGCATGGCTCACTAGCTTAGAAAGATATTCGGTACTGTTGCATTGCTTGACATACTTTTCGAGGGATTTTGTAGTGAAACCTCTCGCATCATCAAGTGTACTTTCACCTTGTACCGAGAAGTACGAGGCTTCATAAAGATAGAGCAGTCCCTCAACATCATCAGAAAGATGTGGCCAGAAGTTTCCACCTTTTTCATCCTTGAAACGATTGAAAACCTCTGAAAATTAATAAGATCTAAGAACTTAGTACTTATGTACATTGATAGGAAAAAGAAAAATTATTACACGAATATGAATGGTCAATTAAAAAATATTGTGGTTAAAACAATACCTGCAGATACATTATACCCATGCTGTCTTAGGATTCTAAATTCAAGAGCAGTAGCATACAAGTCTTCTTCAGGCTTTGTATCTTCTATATGATTATTGTAATGGAATAGGCTCTTCAATATGCTCTTTATTTCGTCATTGAAAAGGTAAGCTAGCCCCAGTCTCCCTAAGGTATCAACTAGCTCAAGTTGATCCAAAGGTGTTGATGCCTTCTTTAACATCATCCTTACTTCTGCCTTTAGCTTGTTGGCTTGTTCTGTATATGGAGATCCCTACAGAACATAGATTTCATGTTAGCTATTTGACGTATAATTGGATGTTCTTAACCCACTAAAAACAATAACGTAAGTGCAAAATTGCTAAACATCTATACCACATATTTGCTTCTCACTGACTCAACAAGATCATACTCCTGGAAACGATTTTGGAAAGTAATTTCAGCCCGCCTGTGCACGGTTTGAGCAGCAGTTTTCGATGGTAACTCGCATCGAACATGGAAAGCTGAAAGTCGGTTGTTGGTTGATGAATATTTTACTAATGGTATTCTGTTAGGAGGGCGGAAAGCAAAGGAAGTAAGCTAGAGAGCCATTACAGGTGGTTTCGAGGGAAGTTCTAGTTATTTCGATTTTCGGACTTGTGATTGAAGACATCATCTACATGTATATATATTTGCATTTTTTTTTTGTCCCCAAGGTATCTAAGTTTAAAAATCTAAATTAATTCATCATTATTCTAACAGACGCATAAGATAGATACAAACCACTTGCTTAAAAGACTAAAACCTATTTCATTCAAATTAATCCTTTTAAAAAAATATAAAAAAGAAATAGGCAAAAGGGGAAAAAAATGGGAGTTTTGACATGGTAATTTATTTTCTTCTTCCTTTTTTTTTTTTACCCTCTTCTAGAGATGATATAATAAAATAAAACAATTTTTTAATTTTTACTTAATAACCTCAATGATCGAAACATTATAAGTTTTAATTCTGTTTTTAATTAAAATTAAAATTTCATCTGGTCATTAAAAATTTTAAATCCAAAAGCTTTTCACGTAAGAAAATTCTATTGCACACAATTTGGCAAGACAGGGAGCAGGTAGGTCCTGTGGCTTGGATGCAATATTTTGTGTATTTCAGTTTCTTTTGAGCCTATTATTTTGTAATGGTTTCTTCTGCGAGGTTCTTATCGGTCCAACATAATCAATTATTCATTAAAAAATAGTATTATAAAAAATAATATAACAATATAATACTATTTTTAAATGCTTAAGTTCTTAGATTAAAATAGTTTTTGGACATCCAAAATAATCATGTAGAGATTGGCTGAGTAAATTATAAATTAATCCCTCTAGTTTTGAAAAAAAAAATTAATCTTTTGTTTTAAAAAATAATCATTTAGCATTTATATTTTTAAATTTTATTATAGCGTAATTCTTTTTGTTCTTTTTTAGTTCATTCGATTTTTATTTTAAGAAATAGAAAAAATAAAAACAATAAAAGGATCAATAATAAAAAAATGATATATATTTTTTTAAAATAAAATAATATTCAATTAAATATAATCAACACTAGTTAAAGAACTAAATAATTAATTTTTTTAAAAAATAATTAATTTGCTTATAAAAAATTCGGAGACTAATTTATAATTTATTCGAGATTGGCTTGCATTCTATTGTTTGTATGGGTTAGGCAGACCTTTTTTTTTAAAAAAAAAAAGAAGAAGGAAAGAATGTGTGAATAGTATGCTATACTGTGAGGGAAGTTTAATAAAACTATCTTATCATTTGACAGAGAATGAAATTTAAAGGTTTCATGAACTCCTATAAATAGCGCAAAAATGCTCTCCCATATTTCTTTAATTTAAGGATACTTGTAATGGACCTCCTTTTTTTTTTTTTTTTTTTTTTTTTTTTTTTTTCAAAGATGAATAATAAACATGTGAGGGATCATGTGAAAAAAGGGGACTTGAAAGCTATCCCATATTTTTATAAAATTTCTAAGCAGAAACAGACATGTGGGAGCAAATTAAGGAAACACAGCATGTTAGCACTTCTTAAAAGATTAATAAACTTTTTAGAAATTAATAATTTTATTCTCGCATTACGCTAGGAATATAACAAAACAAAATCATTTCAATTTGATACTTCATGTTATATTACAAATTTACTATAATATATCACATCAAAGGTAAAATAAAAAAATATAATCTAATAATTTTTTTTAACTAAAATCTGTTATTTAATTAATTATTTCTTATATTTTTCATAAATTTTCAACTAAAACAAATATGATTTGTTATTTTGTACGTATTGATTCTTAAATAAGAACCTACAATAATCTAAATAGAAAATTGAATTATATTTTGTTTTAAAAAAACTTAATATCTTTTTCCATAAGATTGTATTAAAAAAATAAAATAACGAGTTAATATAAATTTTTTTTTAAAAAAGAATTTTTTATTTTTATTTAATGTTAATAAGAAGATTATTTTCTTAAAGTATATATATATATATTTCAATGGGGCGTGTCGGGGATGGGGATGGCCTTGAAAAGCTCTGCCATCCCCTCCCCCACTCGGGCAATATTTCCCCTACCTTCTCTATCCTCAATGGGGACAGGGATCCCCGTGAGGCACCGATACCCTCGCTTGATTCTTTGTGTCTACCCCGTTTCATTTTACATCATATCATATTGTAGTAAATTTCAAACTACACTACCAAAAAAATAGAATTTAGCTACGATTCAAGCCATCGCTAAATCCCAAAAAACTATCACTAAATTTTTTTAATGACGGGTTAGCTACGGTATAAAATTGTCCAAAAAAACCTTCTTGCTAAATCATTAACGATGGTTTTTTATATACTGTCGCTAAATTAACGAGTAGATTAACCATCGTTAAAACATCAAAAATCTATCACGTAATAGTTAATTAAGGTTGTCAATTTAGCGACGGTTTTGTAAAACCATCGCAAAATCCATCGCCAAATATGAATAATTTAGCGACTATTTTTTAAATGCGTCGCTGAATCCGTCTCTAATTAGCAATAGTTTTAGCAAATATTTAAGTAAAATCGATGCTAAATTTGAGATTAGTGATGGTTGAAATAAATCCGTTCCAATTTTTTTTAATTTTTAATTATTTATTTCATCGCTAATTAAAAAAATAAAATCTATTTCAATTTAAACCGCATCAAGAATATGGGTTTTGCGAGTGACAACTTCATTGCCCTAAGAGTAGTTCCCAATATCCAATCTAAGAGCCCTCCACTTCATATTGGCTCCTCTCACACGAATTTTTCTAACAGTCTTATTGCTTTAAAGCTTAGTATTCGTAGGCTGACATGACAGCCAAGCTCATACCTACATACATCAATCGAATGAGTAAAACATAGAATCAACATTAAGAATATGATACTAATATAAAAATAAATAACATTTGCCATTATCTTTCTTATAGTCATCTTGTCCAATTATGATTCGGCATTAATAGGTTTAGAATTCGGAGGTCTGATACAAATAACAATTGATTCTTCTTGTTTTCTCCTTTTAAAAAAAATTCCTTTGTAGTAGAAAGATTAATTCCCAAATTTTAACAATTAAATATAAATAAAATTAAAATTCAACTAATTAATCATAATTAACCTAACAATTATGAAAAATAACAACTTTTTTAACAAATGAGAGAGAGAGAGAGAGAGAGAGCATACCTTTAGACAATTAGGAAGAGATCGATAGAAAGGACAAAAATTGAGCTTTTTATGAATAAAAGAGTTTAGAGTGGGTGGGGTTCCCGGCCAATGGAGGACCTAAGTTTTGTGGCAATTTTGGATTGACAATAGTGGCAATAGCGGCTAGAGGAGGAAAGGAGGAGGAAGAAGAAAATAGGAGAAGAAGGAAGAAAAACTATGATTAGGAATTTAGGATTAACGAAGAACGCGATTTGGTCGTTGATCCGTTGCTAATTAGTGAGGGACACTTATTTGATCCGACGGTTGAATTACTAAAGTGCGCTCATTTTTTTTAATATTAATGACGAACATTCTGTTGTTGATTTGCATGGGAAATGGTCAATTAGCGACAGATTTTTTGTCACTAACCCTAAACCAAGACAACGAGTAACGGAATCTTGGTTCCGTAGCTAATTTCACTCACAATTTTCTCACTAAGCTATCTCTAATATATTCGTGAATATTTTATCATTAAATGTAGTGATAGATATAGGTCCCTCGTTGAAAATCCATTGTTAATCTATTGGTGTTCCGTAGCCGAGGTCAATAACTCGACAATAGTCCCAATTCAGTCACCAATCCGTTGTTAGTTAGCAAAAGATTATAATCCGTAGCTGATTTTTGTCGCTATTTTTTGGTTTTCTTGTAGTTACTAAATCCTTTTAGAAGTATAAATGTTTCACATGTCATGTGAAGGATTTACTTTTGACGAAGAAGAAGAAGAAGAAGAAGAAGAAGAAGAAGAAGAAGAAGAAGAAGAAGAAGAAGAAGCTTGAATCTTGTTTAATTCACAACATATGACTAGGGAGTTCCAGAATAATAAATATAAAATCCACTCAACTTGAAATTCCTGTTTCAAAAACTACTTTTACCTAAGAAGCAGCATAGTCGTCTTCAAAATAACACAAAGGCATTAATTTGTTAATTCATAATTGGACATGGAAATGGAAAAAATTGTAAAACGTATAATGATACAACTACATAGGATATCTAGATTTTAATTCATAATTTTTTAAAGTTTGCCTTCACATGCAAAGCACTTCCTTGTAATCCTTTTAATATAACAAGATCCTGAAATTAAGGTGGTCAAATTTTCCTTCTAATATATTTGCATCTAAAAACTATGCATCAGATTCTTTCTCCTACAAATGCTCGCAACAGTCACAGATGGATTCCCGACCGCATGCCAGCAGTATGGCCAAACGCAATCATATTTATAAATTAACCTCACAGCGAAATGAATGGATTTCTTGAATATTTTGAGTTATTGTTTCTGCTGCTTGCTGTATTGTTTAGATTTTATAAACATAAAAAGTTTTCTACCTTTACCGTAAACTATGCTTAGATTTCTTTGTTGTATTATTGTAAAGTCACAGTCAGAGTTAAGTACCAAAACCATTGATCCAATTTCTTAGACATCTCATTACCAGGAATTCGACATATAGCCAAAAAAAATTTCGTTCCTATATCTTAAAAATCCGTTGCTATATACAATTAGCAATGGATTAGAGATAATATGCATTCCATCGCTAATATGTTCATCACTATTTTATTAGTGACCGAAACTTCTTTCCGTAACTGATTAGCAATGGATTTTTCCTTCGCTAATTTGTTGAATTTCCATCGTTAAATCGATCTAAAATAGTCGTTTATAAGGTCTTATATCTCGTCGCTATTTCCACTTATATCCATCTCCATTTGCGGATGGAATGAGTGTCGGTAAATGATAGTCGCTAAATATGTCGCTATTTAATGATCATATATGTCTCCATTGCTAAATATCATCCTCAATTCAGTCGCTCATCCGTTGTTAAATGAAGGAATTTTTATCTTCTAAAATTAATAGCTATATATTGTTAATTGTAATAACAAAAAGCTGTAAACAACATCTTATTAAAACACAATATATTATTTAATAAAATTAAAATAGTACAAATTAAAATAAAATAAATATGTAAATGCGTTATGGTGAATGAAAACATTAAATACTTTTTTTAAAAAAATCTAGTCCTCACCATCATCATTTCTTGCATCATCTTTCAGCTCGTTGGATATTGAGAGGAACGACCGACTCTTGGGTTGGGGGAGGGGGTTAGTGGGAGGGACATGAGTTTGTCGTAAGTTCCGTAACAACTTCATCATTGTCCGCATATGACCCCGCGAGTACTGAATTGATAGGCTCGTTCTTGGATGGTAGCCTCCATCATCTTGATCCTAATCTTTGTACTAGGCAAAAACCTTCTAGATATTACTACCGGGATACTACGAAGTGGCAAAGGAGGAGCTAACATCGGAATTTGAGTAATATTGAGACGCCTAAGATCCAAGGCGGACACTCTTTACTTCTTCTCCCCTCCTACAACATCCAAATATAACTTGGACTTATCGATATTTGAAGACGATAAATCACCCTTATGTTGCTCTTAAGTTATTTTTTGCATTAATCGCATGCACTCCTATGTCATTAAAATAATTATAATATTAAATCATAAATATATGTTTTAGATTATATCAATAGATTTATATATATTTTTTAAAAAATAAAAAACTTACAATTATTGTCTCGTGATCGTCCGTCGATGATTAATCCATCTTTTTGCTTGTGAATGATCATAAACGAGCTTCGTATGGATTTGGGTTACGATCCAATTATTTATGCTAAAAAAAATAAACAAAATAATATGAGATGCAATAAATAAAAATAATAATTTATGACGCAATGGATAATATAGGGTTTATCAAATGCTCGGCGTGCTCAATTAAAGAGATAGACTCTCTAGTATGATTGGATGGGTCAACACCGACACCAAACATTTTCGACATGCAATTCCAAGACACCTACTAAGATCAAGCCTAATACTCAAGAATGGCTCAATCCCGGTGCCATGCTTCCTACACTTGTTGTTTAACAAATGCAAGTCTATCACTCTTATACTTCAACTTGTTCAGCATGTCCTCATACCGCATTCGTACCGGACTCTCTCACGCATCCTTAATGAGCACGTTGATGGCCGAATCCAATAAAAAGTACTTCTACATAAAGAAAAAAATAATATTAGAACATTTCATGTTAAATTAAGAATTTAAATAAAATATAAGTAAATAATTAATATATTATCCTAAACTTATTAAAGTAGAAGTTTTTTATGTCTATGGAACGGACTTCCATGCGGAGCCAATAACGTCCAACTGTTTCATGAAGATTGCAATGATTTTTGTGAAATAATTACTTGATGGAACCAAGCTATCGAATAAAATAAAAAATTAAAAAAAAATGAATTAATAATTTCAATATAATATATAAAAATATAAAAATAATCACCACATATAAAGCATATTACTTACCAATTATTCACGACCCGAATGGTGTGTCTAGAATCACATCCAAGTAGAGTTTTTGAAGCCGAGGAAATCATCTTGGGAGCATCCGCGACTGGGGCCCTACCGACGAGGGCATAAAATAGTACTTAATCAACAATTTATAGTGGAAATAAAATTATAATTCAACCTACTCGAATAGAATTAACTAAATAATTAATTAAAAATAAATAAAATTAACCTATTTAATTCTAATTCTAACTAAATTAAGTTTAAAATAACAATTAATTAACAAGTTCAAATATAGATTAAATTATAATTCAACCCATTAAACAAAATTAATTAAATTAATTAATTAATTATAATTCAAATTAACTTAATTAATTCTAATTCTAACCAAATTAAATTTAAAATATTATTAATTAATTCTAATTCTAACCAAGCTAAATTTAAAATGACAATTAATTAACAATTTTTAATGTAAATAAAATTAAAATTCAACCAATTAAATAAATAAACCTAATTAATTAATTAAACATAAATCAAATCAAATTAATTAATTCTAATTATAATAAAATTAAATTTCAAATAAAAATTAATTAATAATTTCTAATATAAATAAATTTAAAATTCAACCAATTAAACATAATTATTGTGATTAATTAATTAAATATAAATCAAATTAAATTAGTTAAGTTTAAAATAATAATTAATTAAAAATTTCTAATATAAATAAAATTAAAATTCAACCAATTAAATAAAATTAACTTAATCAATTAATTAAACATAAATCAAATCAAATTAATTAATTTTAAAATAACAATTAGTTATCAAGTTATAATGTAAATAAAATTAAAATTCAAGTAATTAAAAAAATTAACCTAATTAATTAATTAATTAATTAAACGTAAATCAAATTAACTTAATTAATTCTAATTCTAACCAAATTAAATTTAAGAGAAAAATTAATTAACAATTTCTAATGTAAATGAAATTAAAACTCAACTCATAAAACAAAATTAACCCAATTAATTAACTAAACATAAATAAAATTAACTTAATTAATTAAAATTCAATTCTGATTAAATTTAAATAACAATTAACAAACAAATTCATTTAACAATTAACAAAATTTAACAATTTAAAAAATTAATCGACAAATTAACCTAATAATTAAAAAAAAGTAACAATTTAACAATTAAATCAACAAAATAACAATTAAATTATACAAAATTATAAATCAAGTAATTAAACTTAAAAGTAACCTAACAATTACAACAAATTACTAAATTTAAGTAAGAAAATAAAAGAGAGAAAAAACATACCTAATTTTGATGGAATTAGACCAAGATGAAGGGAGGAAAAATGAGGGTTTTTGGGAGAAAAGAGCTTAAAGTGGGTGTGGGTTGATTGAAAGTGGAGGAGTGGAGTTTGTTGATGATTTTGAATTAGGGAGACCAGGAGCTGATTAGAGAATAAGAGGAAAAAGAAAATGAAGGAGAAGAAGAAGAAGAAGAAGAAGAAAGAGGTTTTAATTAGGGATTGAAAAATAGTGATGAACACGATCTCGTTGTTGATCCGTCGCTACACAAGTATCCATCGCTATTTTTTCACAAAATGGGTAGCTAATTAATTATAATTGCTCGCCTATTTTTTTTACATATAGTGACAGACTTTTATGTTCATCGCCAATTGGGCGGCTTTTGAATTTCAAAAGTTTGCCCAATTTTTCACCTTTAGCATCGGATTTACCCATCACTAATTTATGAGGAATATCGCTTTTAATGATGGAATATCTATCGGTAAATCCAGACATTAAAAATAGCGACGAATTACTAATTTTGTCGCTACTTTTCCTAGTAAATTCATCACTCAACCATCTCTAAAACTATCAAGAATATTTTTTCACCAAATTTAGCAATGGATTGGTGTCCGTCACTAATAAAACGTCACTAATCTATCGTTATTTCGTCGATGGTTTCAATAGATCCTATTCAATCGCTATTTGCTTGTTATTTAGCGACATATCAATTTTCATCACTAAATTCTATCGCTTTTTGATGGTTTTTTGTAGTGTCTTATTCTACGTCAAATAAATAAAAAAAATCGGTATAAAAAAATAGAAAAAAGTGATGAACATGAAATTATCGGTATATAGTGACAAATTAACAAATGACTAACGATGGTTATCAATTTTTAGACATTTGATTAGCAATGATGGTTTGCCTATGAATCTATGACAAAAATTCAACGAATGAACACTCGTCATCATTGAATAATGCGGTTAATTTTATATAGTTAATTTAGTGATGGATTCTCAACTAGTTTACAATGACATTTAGCGATGGAATATAAAAGCTATCGCTAATATAGTCACCATTTTCCCTCTAACTAGCAATAGAATATTCTGTCTCTAAACCTATTATTTTATCACAATAAAATGATGAAAACATTTGTCACTCAAAAAGGTCAATTTAGCGATGGATCATTTCATTTTCAATGATAGGAAAAATGGTGCAATTTTGATGAATTAAAATAGTGATGGACACTTATTAACATCAAGGAATATTTTTTATCATCAATTGGAGGGAAAGTGGCTTAATTTGTTAAATTCAAATACCAATAGAACTTATGAATAATGACAAAGTCATATCTTTCGTTAAAAAAACCTAAATTTGCCGACGGCCCCCTCTTTCTCTATTTTCTTTCTCCTCCCTCACTCGGTAATTTTTTATCCAGCCACCACTAAAATTATCATCGTTGTCTCCCTCTCCTACAAGCTCATTCGTTCCTTTCCTTCTATAACTCGCCATCCCTATCAAACCACACTCATTGTTCCTCTCGATCCCCACCAACAATCTCTCATCGATGGTAGCTGCGGCAACGGCTAATGCTGCGAGCACACTCGAAGCCGTTTTAGTCATGCCAACCATTGCACCAGCCACCATTTCAATCACACTAGTTAGCATTCCAGCCACACCGACCACCATTTCAATCGCATTAGTCACCATTCCAGCCACGCCGACCAATGCTTTAGTCACCTTTCCACCCTTGTAGGTTAAGTTATCTAAACCTCAAGTTTTAATTCGTGTCATTTTTAGAATAATTATGAATTAATTATGGATATTGATGAAATTGAGATTAAATTTATTTTATTGATGATTATTAAAGTGTGCTTGAGATATGTGATAAGGTATCCAACCCGAGGAGTCGGAGACCCCAAGAAATTGAAAAAAAATAAGGTGATTTCAATACTCTACGCTGGAGCTAGGAGGATAAGGATTGAGTTTTAATTTGAATGGATTATCTAAGGTGAGTATCGACTTTGGTGTGTGAAAATTTGGTTGGTTATTATCCGATGGTGATTGATTAAACATATTTGATTATATATGTTTGTGTTATCAATTAATGGGTTATTTTTTCGATGATGATTAATTGAGTATGCCATTTTGCCTATTTGTCATTGTAGTTGAAAATCATGATGCTTCAAGTCACGTCGATCTCGGTCCTAATTTGAATTGTTCTCGTCAATTTTATGTATTTATGCATGCTCCCTTATTGATTTTACGTTGTTTGTTTCAAAATCATGACACTTAAATTTACGTCGGTCCAAGTCCTTATTCAAACTGTTCTTGCCAATTTTGCTCGTATGTCTATTTTGTCTTTAAAAATCATGATGCATAAAGTCATGTTAATTCAAAACCTATTTTAAGCATATTTGTAGTTAATATGGTAATTTAGGGTACTTTAAATTCATTTACATGTTGATATTATTAGTCGAGGATCCCTATAGAGGGATTATGGTGCTTTTGTTGTTTATTTTAGATGTATCATTTTTTTAAGCATGTAAAGTCTCAAGTAATTGAGAAGTGTCCAATTTACAGGAGAGACTCTATCAAAATTTTGTTAGATTTTTTTAAAAAAGATGTATAAATGTAAACCACATTTAAGATGTTAATTAAATCATAGATACTTGGTTTGGTTAACTTCCATTCTAATTTCATAAGTAATTATATGTTGGCTCGGATATGTAAAATGAAAAAAAGAAAAAAAGATCGGATCATGCATGGATTGACTTTAGGTTTACCGAACGGATTTTAAATCGGGATTTCATGAATGGGGTTAAAGAATTTATTACATTTGTTGTTAGTCATCCCAAAAATATAAATAAAAGTAAGAAAAGGTATCCTAGTAATTGTTGTAAGTGTCGGACTTACGGATATGAGGAGATTGATATGGTTAAGTACCATTTGGTAAAATATGGGTATGTGCCTGGATATTATAAGTGGATACATCATGGAGAAAGTGAGTCAAGGAGTTATTGTGAGTCAAAAAATTATGATAAAGGTGAATGGATTTTTAATGAACCTCTTAATGCATAGAAAACAATAATGATGGAGGCGATCGGTCCATCACTTAATTTGTCTAACACCAATGAGGTGCTAAATGTTGATATACGGGTTTTTTATGATATGTTAAATGCATCAAATAGAGAGATTTTCCCTAACTATGAAAATCACTCATAATTATCTACGAGTGGCTCATATATTAATCCTTAAGTTGGAACATCATTTTTTTGAAAGATGTTACGACGTCTTATTACAACCAATGAAGGAGTTGATACATAGTGATAATGATATGATAGAGGACTTTTACGAGCACAAAAAAGTTCCTAAACAAGATGGGTTGACTAGTTAAAAAGATCTACTATTATAACAATGGATGTATGATATATTGAGGTGAAGATAGTGAACTAACTACTTGCAAGTTCTATTTCCATCCTTGATATTGAGGATCGAGATAGGAATTGGTAAGAGCAAAAGATGGTCCATATAAAAAAATATACTACCTTCCACTCGCCTAGTAGTTCCAAAGATTGTATATGTCAAATGCCACGACTAAAGACATGGCATGGCATGTCGAGCATGAAGTTAAGGATGTAGGCATCATGTGTCATTGCTCTAACATGTTTGTATTGCAGCATTTCAATCTTGTCATCACCCTATTTTTACACCTATAAAAAATACAAAAAATGAAAAAAAATAAAATAGAGAAAAAAATGAAAAAAAAAAGGAATTGGGCTTAGACTTGGATTGAAAAAGAAAAAAAAGAAGAGGAATGGACCTAGATTAGGCATTGGGTTAAGCCTTATTAATAATAAAAGAGGAAAATCAGAATAGGAAAAAAATTCTAGGTTAACCCTACAAGCACCTCTATAAATACTAGGCATACACACACATACATAAAGGGAAGCTAACACCTAAAAAAAAAAAACCTAGCAACCTAAAGAGAGGCAAAAGACAACAATTGAAAGAAGCCGTTGTCACTTCCAACTCGCCAACTTCCGATCAACATGCACCGGAGCACCCGAATCATCCGCCAAAAATGATTACAACCCCACTTCAATCACTCCATTTCAATGATGAAGAAGCCTTTGTACGTCTCCCAAAGTTCCACTACCGTTGCTACCCACGGATCCGAGTTTAGTCGTCGCTACTCTCAACATACCGACTTCCAATCAACAAGCATCGAACACCCGAATCGTCCATTAGAGACAATTGTAGCCCTACTTGAATTGCTCCATTCGGATGATGGACCAATCCTCAAGCGCCTCCTAAAGTTCTACCACTCGCTCGCTGCACAAGATTTAGTTTATTCCTTGAATTTTGGATTTAGTTAATTACATCCTAACACCTTAACATTTTTTTATTTGATTTTATTTGAATTTCATGATTTTGCCTAACTTTTTCGATATTTCATAAGATTGTAATCTTAACTATGTGATTGATGATGAATATTAGTATGATTATGAATGTAACACGTGTGACTAGGGTTGTAATTGAAAAATGTAAAAACTTGGATACTAGGTTATGTGTGATAGAATGAAAAGGATCCAAATTTAGATTGTTTCGGTGTGTTATGGGTTTTAATGCTAAATCAAATGAGAAATAGTGGATTAGTGAATTTGTTTTGTTTTTATTCTTGTTCTATTTTAATTTTATTTTTAATCATTAATTTCAATAAAACGAGATGTTGTTTGACATATGATATAGTAGTTTTTTTTCTTAATAAGTCCCCGAGGAACTCGTTGGTTAATGATGAAGCTAGCAATAGGCTAGTAATTTGTTTTGGAAAATTAAAATAAGCCAAATTTGAATTTATAGGCTGAGGACCTTGTAGAGGCCTATAGCTATTTTATTTTTCATGAAGTCGTTTTTATATTATCTATGATTTTTTTACATATTTTTATGTTTAGCATTTTATGTGTTTATTTTATGTGATGTCGGTCTAGGTCAATCTAGATTGAGTAAGTTTAGGACATGAGACCGACTTTTTCGAATGGCAAGCTTTTTCTTCTTCTTATTATTTTTTATGGCTATTTTTTATTGTTAATTTTAATTATTTTTTATGGTGCCACTAATTTATTCTTCTTGTAGATTTAGCTCTTAATTTGGCTTTAGACCCAATTTCATAGTTTAAAATGGCATGACAAGTGATATGGGCTTGAGGCCCGTGTCCATTTTTTTATAGTCATTACGGACTTGTAATTTTATCTTATTTAGGAGAATTTGGGTCAAGGCCCATGTTTATATTATTTTTTATTTTTGTGTTTCTATGGGACTAGAATTTAATGTGTAATGGGCTTTTAGCCTTAATTTTTACCTTCCTAAGTGGGCTCTAACGACCTAATGACATATTAGGTGAGAGATGGAGTTTTATTTCGGTCTCCAAATCACTTTTCTTAGGACTTTATTAGAAAAGGCCCAAATAGTCCTCACAAATCAGGATAAAAAAGATAATTTGCATGAATGAATTCCTCTAAGCTAGAAACCTACTTCGAACTTTTACGAGGGCACTCTAGGGTGACCGTAATCTTTTCCGATTGTGTAATCAACCTACTTAGAACTTTTGAGACTAATGCCGGGTTTTTCTTTGTTTTCATCTTTTTAGAAACTGAGTGGAGACTCTATATTTATACATCTTTATTTTTATTTATTTTTGTGATTGTTGAGAGGTCAAAAGTGACAGAATGGAGACTTCACTCGGGGAATTAGGGGTTAAGCCTATGAAGTTTCTTGCTTTAGGGAATTATCTTTGTTCTATCTTGATATGCTTGTATTCTTGTGCATTTTACTTTGATGTTTGGGCTTATATATGAAGTGTGACCCTTTTGGACACACTAGCACATACACAAGAATAATCTTTGAGCCTCGCATACACTCTAGACCCTTTACCTAAGATTAGAAGGAAGGAAGTGGCACTCGAGGGATTCCAATCTCGAAGCATGTGCAACTTACCCCTCCATTCAAACGGGAAATTTATCCTTATACATAAGACTATGAAGGGCAACCCGATAACCATCATGCACAAGAATGGAGCTTCAAGTATCTCCTACTATGATTGAACTAGAGCCCACATTGAGAGCCTTTGAAGAAGTTAGGTTAGACAACCTTACCAATCTTTTTTAGACAAATTTAGAACCTATCCCTAGGCTCCCCTCAAGACAAAAGGGCAAATACTATTTTTTTATGCAAAATATTCATAATGCTATCTTACTTTAAAAGCTTCATGACTATAAAAAAATATCATTAATAGTGATTACTTTGCTCACTTAGATCAAGATACCTTACTAGTCATGTCTAAATAAATTTAGAACTTATCCCTAGGCTACCCTCAAGACAAGAAAGCAAATATTGTTTTTTTTTTTTATGAAAAATATTCATAATACTATCTTACTTTAAAAGTTCCATGACTATTAAAACTATCATTAATAATGATTGCTTTGCTCTCTTAGATCAAGATTCCTTACCCATATTGGCAAAGTTAGGAACATAAATGGCAAAAATAGTAAACTCTATCATGATTTCTAGCCCGATGTTGGCTTTAAAATCAGATTGATAGCCATGGTGCTCGTTTCAGCTTAAAACACACTTCATAATCATGCTCAACCATGAGTTCTCATCTTTTGAAGTCTTATATCTTACACATT